ACACACACACACACACACACACACACACACACACACACACACACACACACACACACACACACGTTGGTCTGCCGTCAAGGAAAACTGCATTAGTAGCTGAGAGCTGCATATTTGGCAGGAGAGACCTATAATTGATATTATGATATATAAGCCAGCCAGACCCAAAGTACACCAAACTGCAGAACCTTATATGGAATGAGTTTCTCCTATTAATAACCAGTGACCACAGTGGACATGGTCAATATTGACTTGGTTTCCAAGACACTGGATGGGGCACATGAGGGGTTCCTCGCTATTTCTTAATGCCAAGGTTTCATAGTCAATTAGAATAGAATAAATGTCAGCTTAGCACCCAAAAGCAGTTCCCATGTGCTTTTCCACACTGGGTTTTCAGCCCGTTAAAACATACAACCGCAAACATACTGTACATGTGTCAGATGAGCAGACCTCCGTGATTTGGAGGCCCGTAACTCATCCACCAACCAACCAAAGAAAGAAAGTGAGATGCAGGACACAGGGGAAAAGGTGAAAGAGTTCAGGAAGAGAGGATTTAAAAGACAAGGGATTGGAGTAGAAGAGAGTTAGCAGTAGAGGAGAAGAATTAGTGGGAGAGAGAGAGGAAAGCTGACATCGAGAAAATTGGAGAGGAATCGTGGTGGAATTTAAGGTGTGAGTCATGCTGGTTTTAAGTGAACTCGTAAAGCCACGGGAGTTAAATATGCACTTTTTATTTTCCCGTTTCTGTGTGCATGAGAGAGAGAGAACAAGGCGGAGAGAGAATGTGCATGTTGAAGGAAACAATGATGGCATCTTGCTGTGCTCATGAAACCTGCATTTTTCTACTGGTGTATTCAAGCTTGTGCAGAAAACTGCTTCAAGCTTTAGCTCTAATGATGTTAACTAATATCTAGTTTCTCCTGGTTTAGAATGATAAGCAAGCACACTGCATGAAAACATTCATTTCAAGTCTTCATGATATCCTATTAGTTAATATATATACATAACACATAATCTTTTGAGGTTGATGCACTTTTCATAAACAGTATACTGCCAAACTTTTATAATCCAACCATCCATCTTCCAGGGCTATGGGACAAATTGGATTTGACTGACTGCTCCTCTCTCCTGTTACTCCATTAGGTGTGCACATATTGACTTCTTGTTACTTGGCCATTTGTGACATCATAAATTCCCACTATAGTTCCTCCCAGTTTCAACCTGACCAGGTCTAATAAGCAGGCGTAATAAAAATATATGTGCAAATGACCATTTAAACCAACAATTCAAATGAAACCTATTTGCATGTAAATGTTAAGGAGGAGAGGACGTTAGTATTAAAGGGGAGATATAACATCTTTAGTTTAATGTATTGCTTTGATGGAGTAGTGATGCAACTTCTATTAGTGCTAGTGAAAGCTGCCTTGTTCTATCAATCTGGCATTTCTAGTGTAAAAACAACAAAACAGGTATCTGGAAGACCACAGTAATCTTGTCTAAATAAAAGAGCAAACAAAGCCACTACATGTGTATTATTAAGCTTCAGTAATGGCTAATTTCAGGTACAGATACTGATTTTATCTAATGTACAACTCATGTAAAACCTTTGTCACGATTCAGTGTAATCAGCCGTTGACTAGTTGTACTTTTACAGCAGCAGTCTTAAACTCCTACTTCTCATCACCGCCACTCCTGCTATTATAATCTATTTTACCATCATAGACGATGAGGAAACATCACTTTTCAAAGACTACAGGTCTGTGCATGCCTGCATGATTAAGAATTGTTATATCATGGTGGCTGAGGAAAGCTCTACCCCTCCTGTGCACCTTCTTATCCTGTACTATCCTGTATAATAAGAAAGAAAAATGTCAGTGGGGCTCATTATAAAAAGAAATATCGTCCACTCTTGTTTCACTATCTTCGAGACTGGTAGTAAAACAGGGGATCCTAGATTAAATCTAACACTTAATCTCAGTTCTAACAGGAATTCAGATTCTGTGACTCAAAGCAGAGTGAATGGTGTTATCAAGCATCATCATGCAGGAACAAATCTTACACAGCTACATTTTGTTCGTTGGTGTTCCTCTTTTTGTGCATGTGTGTTGTGGAAAATTATGATCAGGGTGCTGGTTATGTCATTCTGGCAGAAAGGATCCTATGATTAGCATTAATTATAATCACATACTGTATGCCTTTCACTGGCAACACATAAATCACAAGTCAGTTTTATGGAGTCAATGACTTTCTTTCCTTGCTTTTCATTCTTCCCCTCCAAACAGATGAATGACACCATGCGCCACTGTTGATTAAAATGAAAATATTTCATTCAGTAGTTCTTAAACTTTTAATACTTGGTTTATTGTCTTGTCTAGTTTCATTACATGACTTATGAATAGGTTGGTTTCTTCTTGTTAAAGGAAATATCATAATGACGCATTATTCTGGGAATTACTCAGCAGGTTTACCAACAGCGCTGTCTAACTCCTACTTATCTGACAAAAACATGCCCGGGATCCTTCATAGATAAGGTGTCTGCAAACCTGTCTCCAGGCAAATCTGGTAACAAGATAGTGATGCATGATTTAAGGAGGCAAGGCGTGTTTCATTTAATCCATCTCTGTCATCATCCAATTTGCGTTACTATACCAACATTAACACCATTAGACCAAACTGGATGTACAGAGCATTTTTTTAAAGGTTCACCGTGTAGAATTTAGTGACATCTAGTGGTGAAGTTGCAAGTTGCAGCTGAACACCCCTCACCTCACCCTCTTCTTCCAAACATGAAAGAGAACCTGTGGTAGCCTTCAGCTGTCCTAAAAACTCAAAAAGTTTTAGTTTGTCCAGTCTGGGCTACTGTAAAAATCATGGTGGCCTCCATAGATCGGGCCGCGTCGCAATGTAAATATAAAGTATTTAAATATTTCTTTTAAATGCTAGTGTGCTAGGGTTTAGCCAAATAAACAAAAAGATGTTATTGTTCGTCTAGTTATAGACTATACTCTATATGACACTGTTGCAGGGAAGGAATGGGCAAAATAAAAACTTCTGGTAACTGTTGCCAAAATCAAAAAAAGCTACAGAATGTTTGAGGATATCAATAAAATTTGTCAAACATCAGTNCACAGGAAATTATTTCCCCACTACATCCATGTGTCAAAAGTAAAACAAGTAGCAAATAAAAAAGGGGATTCAATTCGAGCAGATGAAGCACCTTTCTGCTACCACACTGAAATGGTCCACCGTGTCCTCTCCAATGAAAATAAGGCGGTATGTAAAAGTGACCTCAGCTGGAAGAAATAACTGCCTTTTTTGCTTATCCGCCTGTAAGAGACTGAAATATCATCTGCTTCTGTTTAACCCGTCTTTAACGGTTCACTCTGGTCTGTTGTTAAACCAGCAAACACACACAAAGGGACAGCACATTTCTTGAATTTAAAAAGGTGTAACATCTGCTGTTGCCCTCTCTTCTCTACCTATGTCACTTTATACAGACTGACAGTGACACCTGCTGTTAGAGAGCTGCTAGAAATTGTTTCAAATCGAGTCAAATCTCCAATCTCACATTTACACCAATAAAAAACTCAAAATCAATTTCTTTACTTCTGACTACATAATGCATTTACTGCAAAATCGAGAAAGTGATTTATTGAGAGGCTGTCTAGGTAAAGACATTCATTTTAAAATGTTCAGTTTATGAGTAAATGTAATTAACCTAATGTAGTAAATGGACAAAGTGGATCTTTTCTTCCACAAGTCAAATTGTTCTTTGTGCTACTTTTACTCGATGTATTCGTACCAAAGCCAAGACGTGAAAAAAGAGACAAACACATATTTAGTACCTGAGTTGTGTTTTGAGTTCAGTGAAGCGCGGCCTCTTGCTCGGATCATAAGACCAGCACTTTGTCATCAAGCTGTACAGAGTAGGAGGGCACTGAGGGGGCATCGCCAGCCGCTCGCCATTCTCTATCCTGCCAATGACGTCGTTGTTCTTCACACCCTGGAAAGGCTTTATGCCGTACATTAGAATCTCCCACATACAGACGCCTACAGAAAGACAGAAAAACATCGAAGGTGAAACAGGTTATTAAGTGCAAACATATTGTTACAGCACAAAACTGATACAGACAGGAAGAAAGAGCGAAAGCGACGAGGGCTTTAACTCACCAAACATCCAGACGTCGCTGGCTGTGGTAAATCGTCTGAAGTTAATAGATTCTGGAGCCATCCATTTAATGGGCAGTTTACCTTTAGATGCTAAAAAACAGGATTCAAAAGAACTTTGTTAGACTGATCAGTTCAGATCATACGATTCCCACAAATATAAACGTCTTTTTCTTAGAAATGTTGTGAGGGAAAACATTATGTGAAGTGTGCTTGTATGTGTGTCTATGGAGATATGACAGTTACCTTTGTAATAAGAGCTATCTTCCATGTATCGTGACAGACCAAAGTCTCCAAGCTTCACACAGTCGACTGTAGACACCAACACGTTCCGTGCTGCAATGTCCCTAAAGACGACAGAGCCAGAGTTAGAGGAAGTTGCACACAATTTTTTTTCTATTCATCTGATTGACCGGGCACTTAATTATTATCTCTTGTTACATCTCTCATGTTGGAGAAACAGCACAATCCCTAATTTAGCCTTTCTGTTCAGTTAGCATGTTTATCAATTTTATGGGCATTACAAATACATAGTAATGTAAAGTTTTTAGCAGTATATAAATTGTAAAGCTTCTACCAATTAGTGGCAACACCTGCCTTGGGTTATTTGCTATAAAATCAGAATTTCAACTCCTTTATTTCTTTATAAATTACTATTTGGAAACAATAAGCTGTCAATAATTTGATCAACCATCCAATGAAAGATCTACATAATGATATGATGCTCTGGGCTTTAACTAAAAACTGAAAACTACAATTTGCCCTAATGCTTGTATTTGTAACAACAACTTTATAATAAACATTCTGGTGTTCTGTGGTTTCTTATATACCTGTGTACAAAGCGTTTGCTCTCCAGATAGGCCAGCGCTGTGCTGAGTTGGTGGGAATACAGGATGAGAGTGGCCAGGTCTAAACTGTACTTCCTCACCTGGAGAAATGAGCGCAACTATAGAGAACACGGAGAGAGAGAAACAAAATGTTAGGAGTCTCTTTGTTCAAGACAAATAACGAGACTGGAGAGATAAAGCATGAAACAAAGAAGTCATGAATAGAGACTTAATGAGTGAGACAAAGAGAAACAGAGGGAGAAATTGAGATAGAGCGGTAGGAGAGAGAGATGAACACAGTGTGAAAACAACAGCCAATTAATCAGTTCAATAAACAAACAGCTGCAAAGAAAAAGAAACATCTGAGGAGAAATGAGAGGGAAAATGATCTTCTGGTTTAACTTGAGTAATCTCCTGCCCACTGTACTGCTCCCTACAGTGTAGTTGTATATTTGACTGTAAATTAATACAATTGCTAGTTTTGCCAATCAATTCTCAACAAACTATGAACAACTGGATTTGGGCAGTTTATCTCCTTGCAGATGCAAACATAAATACAAAATAAACAAAATACAAATGTTTTCCCAAACCAATTTAATGGCAATGTATTATTAAGTGAGGACCTTGACAACAGGGACACAATTTTTAATTGATACCTAAATATCAAAATGTAGATTTTTGTCTTCACAGATTCAG